AAGCCAATAAGAAATACCTTATTTTTCACTCTTAGCTCTAGATTTCTGATTTCTACAGTTAACATAATATTATAATTTGATCAGTACTTTCTGCTGCTAATCCGGTAGAAAACTCATTAGAGAGAGGGGTATCAATCTAACTACAAGACTGGGAGCCAGGAATCTCAGGGTTCTAACTCTGTTGCTTTTGAGCAAATCAAGTAATTTACACGTTTCACTAAGCCTTTGTTTCCGTTTGATACTTTTAAAACAGAAATAGTATTTCTTATACCCTGGGAGATGGCTTGGTAAGCATGAATTATTCTTTTTATATCCTTCTATCTCCACCTTCAAGCTATTTCAGTTATGGAGTATCTATGACTTTATTGTTCTATAATGGGAATCAAATCAGAGCCCATATAACTGACACTATGCCTCCCTTCTTTTGAGACCAAAATCTTAGTAGTGGCTATCTTGCATACATTTATAAGAAATAACTGAACAACTGCAATAACTAAGCAAATTGAGAAGGTAGATCTTTAAGACTGGCTTAGATACTGACTAATAAGTTCCCTAACAAAGGAACACCTTTCTTCCTTTTGCTTTGCTGTACTTTAAAAATAATCATCTCCAGCCTTTAGAACATATTTTGAACATTGGCAGGAGCTTGCTCATCTCCCTCCTGTGGTCTTCACTGTTTATTAGAGATGCTTCTCACACAGAGAGAATACGAAACTGAAAATGTTATACTATCTATCCAGTTTTCAATTTTCTGTGATCCATCATATATCTGTACAAGCTGTTTACTAAGTTGTTTGTAACAAAACATGCTGCCTTCTATAAATGTACGTGTGAGGTCTGACAGCACACATGCATGGTTGCTTTGGGTTAAAAAAACTGGTTCACAAAAAATTCTGTAATTAAAACAAACTGACTTTACACCTTTTTTGTTTCAATCCCATGTTAGAAACTCAAATATGTTGATGGTCTTCAAACACAGGTAACACACCAATTGAATCTTGAGATGAATACAAAGGCATTTTTATGTTTTTTAAAGTTATTACTTAGCGATATTATTACATGCTTCTGGCCTAAACGTGTTAATTTCATCAGCTGCAAAACTCAACAACCATGCCCAGAACCTAAATCTGGCTTCTAATATGTGCGTACGTCTTCCAATGATTTCAGAAAAAGTTACAGTTTTATCTAAAACTGAAATTGTCCCTAAATGTTTGTGTCAAAAAAAACAGGAACAGAGGGAAAATCATTTTTTAGAGGTGCACCAATACATCGGTCCGATATCGGATCGGTACCAATAAGAAGAAAATTGTCTATATTGGATATTGGGCCTATGGGGCCAATAATTTGGCCGATAAATGCCTGTACTGTGTACAACTGCAGCACAACATGGAGCAGAGCCTGCAGCATGCAGAGCTGCCTCCAGCTGGTAAGTCGGAAGGAGAGGGGGAGGGAAGGGGTGTGACGGGGAAGATCAATGCTCCTGCAGTGAGGGAAGGGGTAGGGGCAGCTACTGTCTAGCCAGGGTGGGGGCGGACTGCAGCTGTGGTGTGGAACCAGAGCCAGCGCTGCATGGAGCTTTTCTTGCTGGGGGCTGGGCTCAGAGCAGGCCCGCTCTGAGCCCAGCCCCCAGCAAGAAAAGCTCCATGCAGCGCTGGCTCTGGTTCCACACCACAGCTGCAGTCCGCCCCGCACCACGCAGATCCGGAGGCACATGCTCCCCCCACTCCCGCCCTCCCGGGGTGCAAGCAGCAGCAGGAGCCGCCCCACCCTGCAAGCCGCATCTCCATCCCGTGCCCCTCCCGACTCCCCTGGGTAATGCCTGCCCCAGCCCTCTCCCTCACCACGGGGGCATTGATCTGTCCCCCACCAGGCCCCTTCCCTCCCCACTGTCCTTCCTCCACACCAGACATACCACCTGGAGGCAGCTGTATTGGATATCAGATCAGTATTGGCCAATATGCCTCCTTAAAGATCAGCAATCGGTATCGGCCTCCAAAATCTCTATCAGTGCACCCTTATCAGTTTTTCCCTCTGGTCTTGTCATTCTTACAGCAAACCTCTTGCTGAATAATGCCATCATGGAAGGAAATGTTATGTTGGAACTAGAACAAGGATGGGCAATTATTTAGGCTGGAGGGTCACTTACGGAGTTTTGGGGAGCTGCTGTGGGCCAGGTCAGCAGCCCCCCTCCCCCTGCCAGGCAAGAACCCCCCACTTCGCCCCCCGGCCCACAACAGCTCACCAAAACTCCTTAAGTAGCTCTCCAGCTCAAATAATAGTCCATCCCTGTTCTACTTACATCTCCCTTCACGATGGCAAAACTCTGTAAGTGGCTTTGCCCTGGGCCCCAGGCCCAAGACCTGACCTTGCACTGTGACCACATGGTGATCCTGGCCCTGGGAGTCTCCATGAAAACTGGCCCAGGACCCATGCGGGCAGGGTGTGCTCAGCCAGCTGGGTGAGATGGGGCCACAGGCAGGCAGCAAACTGGGAACAGGACATACCCCATATTGCATATACAGGACCAGCCAAGTGAACCACAGCCTGGGCGGCCCACAGTGCCTGTGTTGGGTGGGGCCGAGGAACCCACTGCAGGCCACATTTTACCCACCCTGAACTAGGAAGTTCCATGACAGTTGAAAAGGGCCAACTAAGGAGAGCAAATCTCCTGCATACCAAAGTACCTGCAGACAGTAGAGTAACAAGGGTTGGGCAACTAAAGAAGGGAGTGCAGAAAAAAAACTGCTGGTACCATGAGATCAGAAGTTGCTGCTGCCCCTGTGTGTGGCAGCTGCCCTGGGTACCCAGTCAGGTTGTTGTGCCGCTGCCTGCAAGAACCTGAACTCCTGCAAAGGAAATCCCCAAAAGTACATGCCTACAATACATGCTCATTTTTACTCCGGGGCATTCTACTCCAGGGCACGTCTTTGACCTAGCCAACTCCACTCAAGCAGTGGGGCTTTTGGCCCCACAGGCCAGATGAGCAATGTGGGGACAGTTCACAAGTTGGATCAAGCCCCGTGAGGCCTTGGCTGGTCCTGCATGCCAGGATCAGGCCCTGGGGCCAGGCACTGCACCCTCCTAGCCCAGGATCAGGACCCGGGGCCCTGGGCCATGCCCATGTCCTGGGCTCAGGCCCTGGCAGCCAGCGTTTCCCCTGCCCAGGCACTCAATTCAGTGTGCAGGGCCTGGGGTTCCTCACAGGCCTAGAAATCTGGCAGCACAGAAGCGGTGCCATCACCTCCTTGCCACCAAATTTCCGGACTTGTGGGAAGCCCAGCAGGCTGGATGGCACAGCACCAGTGTTTATGTAATTCAAGGAAACTCTTCAGTGAGCCAAGACTGGAGGACAGCTCCACTACAAAACAACTCTTGAGTTGCATTAGCAGATGACAAGTTTCACTAACTCAAGCTGTAGCACATACACCAAACAACTAGAGCTAGAAATGTTATCATACCCCATATTGCACATATGGGACTTGGATTAGAAGCAGCCCTCGAGTTAACCCAGCAGTGAAGACATTCCTTTAGAGACATTTCCATCCCAGTTAAAAGAGCTTCTGTCCACGAATTCTGCAAAGCTTTCCTTTGGTTTCTTTCCTAGAAGGCATACCTCCTTCAGACTGCATCCCAAAACTCATTTTGCTGGCAAAGAGACTAAACTCTTCCACACCATCCTCCTCCAAAATGGGAGGCTTACTTTATTACTGGCTCTTATATCACCAGGTGACCATTTTTTGATGTTTTTCTATGGTGATTATGGGCTGATATTTCTTTGTTGTCTACCTTTTTATTTTTGGGGGGTTTTTTTGGTTTTTTTTGTTTGTTTGTTTTTTTTACAGGTTGGCAGCTTTAAGACTAACTAGTTCAGGGAGGCGTGGGCTTTCATAGGCAACAGCTTACTTCACCAGATGCTAAACTGTCATTGACAAAACTCAAGCATCTCTGAACCAGTTAGTCTCCAAGGGCCACAAAGCACATAATACTTAAGCTATGTTAACAGCACTTAAAACCCAAGTGTCCATGTTTCAAACAGAAGAACACATGCTAAGTGCGATCCTATGGTAGCAGAGTTATGAGTTGGCACAGGAGGATTAATTTAAGATAGTACTAAGCAGCATGTGTTCAGCGAGGGCAGGACTGCTCCAGGGAAATAACAAATCTAGGATTCAGATACAGTGCCAGGGCTAGGACCAAGCACCAACCAGCCAATTGTGGGCCCCAGCCCAGGGACCGAACAAGGGCCAGCTCAAGCCTGGCAGGAGCAGAGGCCGGCTCAGGCTGCAGATCCAGCAGCACGAGTGACACACTGTCCCCAGCTCAGCTCCCTGGGCCTCCTCCCGCCCAGCTCCAGCAGCAGAGACCCGGGGCAGTGGGAGGGGGATCGGCAGGAAGGACCTGGTAGGGAGCTGCAGCCTGGCGCTGGGGGGCGGCGAGTCACTGCTCGGCGGCGCTTCCCACCATCTGGGGAAGGCACGTGCGAAGGCCCCGGGCATGTCGGAGGCACACGCGCGGACACCAGCGGCGGCAGTGCTGGAGGGGCAGCAGC